AATGCATAGTTGGCCCGCCCTTATTCTTTTTCTATAATGGTGTTGTTCAAATTAATTTGTGCACACTTCAACTATTTTATTATGTATTTGTTATCTTCAACCAACACAAATATGAGATAATTCTTTCCTTCAAGGTTTAGGCAGATGAAAAAGTCTTTCTTTGCTACAATTTGAACCCTAGTCCATTGATATTAGACCACACTCTTAATTGCTTAAAGTTTCCTTATTTTTAGTCAAGTACGTAAAAGAGAGAAGAAGACAATACTGATTAGGGATCTAGCCAGGGGAGGATCTACCTTGTGAGGTAAGGGCGCCACGTCATCCGCTTGCTTCACTAAAATTCTAACTAGGTATGTAAGATATCTATAAAGAAACGGCTATATAAAAATAGTGGCACCCAAAATTCCCAAAGTAAACACAGGTGCCAATCGGAGGCGGACCCATGATTTGAAGGCTACGAGTGCACTCTTGCATTCAACCAAAATATGCTTTGTATAAAGGGTGCCACTACTAATATATCACTAATTTCTAAATACATACACATATATACACAAAGTTTTTGCCGAACTCTCCTGGTGCCTATGACCCCTCTAATAACTACATAGGTCCGCCTTTGGTGCCAGTGCGCGTTCCTTTTGAAGGATGGCCTGAATGAATGCGAGTTGGATTCCCTGTACGAACACCATCTTAGTGTAGACAAAAAATTTACGTCAAGAAAATAATCGAGACCGAAAAATATTGACAGGGAACGGGTTACCTACTTTTAACGGGCAAAGCGAGCCCTTTTATTCTGAACTCTTTAATTCTGAATCAATCAAATCTCCCCAAGTATGATTCGAACCTACGATCAGTCAGTTAATAGCTGACCGCTCTACCACTGAGCTACTGAAGAACAACAGGAGATTCAATCTCACACTCCAACTGCTTTCTTTTGAGCTAGTCAAGCATGCGCTGAACACAGACTGAGACTCTCCCGCACAGAATGGTGTTCCTTTAAGCCCTAAAGTCGACCGCTTTCTCACCAGTCGCAGAAAGTCTTTTAAGAAATTGGCTTCCCTAAATTTTCGTGAGAGATTACTTTATATCCATACCGAAGAGAATGGACGACTTGAAAAGGTCTCCATAGACAAAGAGACGATCTAGACCGAAAAAGAGAAAAGATATTGGGAGCACTGTATTTATGTAGGAGCCGTTGTTTTTGGTTTGTTTGCCGGATTGGTACGCTTTCTTTTCTAAAAACCATTCTCTCATAGGTCATTACATTTTAGGCCATTTACAAGAATTGGGCAAATTCAAAAAAGAAAATAAAGTCTCGAGTACAAGGAGTCAAATTCGCTATTTCCGATAGCTACGGTAGAAGAGAAGGAGAGGCACTACTTATGCGGTCACCTCACTCAATCCTACAGCGGAAACTCGAGTTGAGGCGCTACAAGGGAGCAAAGAAGCACTAGCTCAAGAAGCAACTGAGGAGAGAGAAAGAGTAGTAAAGGAAATACAAGTAACAGTATCAGGTCAAAGGAATCAAGGAAGAATTTCTTTTGATATTCCGGCTCATCGGTCAAACCAACGATTCTCTTCTCAAAGTAATAGAGAGAGTCTTTTTCTAGTTAGACTTCTATTAATGGAATGAAAGAACCATCCCTTCCTATTTAATAAAGTAAATATATATATGTCTCGACTGCCGAATCCTTCTCCTGCAAACAACTCGATTATGTTGATTCACTGTCTATTTGTCCTCTTTCTTGACGAATAGAATGGCATACTTAGGTCTCAGGATGAAATTCTGAAAGAGTAACCACAATATCAGAAGAAATTCTTCCTTGAATCCTAAGAAAGTGCTCGGGATGAATTTAGGTGTCTTTGTTCGAGCCGTATGCGATGAGTGTCGCACGTACAGTAATGAGGGGGATTCACATCTATACGTGTAGTGTGGTGCCCTCTCCTTCTCTACTACTGTAGCTATCAGAAATAATGAATTTGACTTCTTTTCCCCGAGAGAATTTATTTTCTTTTTTGAATTTCCTCAGTTCGGATTCTTATGGTGCAGATTGACAAAAGATTCTTGAATTGGAGATTCTTGTGTAAACATTCAAGTTGACAATCGACTTTCTAGACAGCCAGTGGACTCTGAAACCAATACCAATGATTTTGCTGGGGAGCCATTACAAAGAAGTTTCAGGATTTACGAAGGAAGCTTCGAGCTCATATTGGTCATTTGGGGGGCACTTGAGTTACCTGTCGACGCTTTGTAGTATTTTATTTCAAATAATTTGAGTATTACAATCTCTATGATTTCTCTTATTCCCTTTTCCAATAATAAATAAATTCAAGAGCCTTTGAGCTTGATTTGGAATCTATATTTTTTTCCACGAACGATGATCTTGAATTCAACCAGCACGAACTTTGATTTGAACTCGTACTCCTTGAACCTTGGTTTGTTCTTCATCTTGAGCTTGAACTTCATTTCTTGAACTTGAACTTGATCGCTTGAAGTTTGAAACTTTTGAGAAATTTGCGGTATTTGATCCACGAGCTCTCTCTTGCTTCTTGTTTTAATTTCTGGTGTCTATTCTGAGTTATGAAGACCCCTATTTATAGTTGTGGAAGAGTTGTAATAAGACAAACTCTTTCTAACCAATCACATTGAAGCATGACAAGGACATATTTGATTGGCCAAAACATGCCACTTATACACGTTACCCAATTTTATTGGCCTTTTAATTTGACTTGGCATGCCTTGTCATTTTGACTTGGCGATCAGAGTTATGTAAGGTATATCAAAGAGAAAATGTCACTATTAAGTTCAGAATGAGGTAATTGTTTCTTGTCAGGTGGAGGGACTCCACGATTTATTGATTTGGCAGGTGGTTATGATTTTCTACACATCTCTTTGGTCGTGGCGGTATTGTGAGAGTTGGAATAGGGCTTATATGTGTTATGAGGTATATTGCGGGCATCAGATTCGTGAAATCACAGCTATTGTGATCGGAGGATGTTATTATTGGCAGACGATTTATGTGGTGCATGGGGTGATTTCAGCATAGGTGCATGATCATGTTTTGGTACGGTGTTCGTGTTAGTTTGTTTGAGTCTACCAACTAGTAGATTACGTGGTCCTTTACGAGGTTCTGCCGAGAATGCTAATAAAACTGTACATAAATAAGGCAGAGGATTTTTACGTGGAAAAATCCCACACAAGGGGATCAAAAACCACGACCTACACCTGTAGGCTTTTAACTTCACTAACTTGTAAAATGCCTATTACAAGCCACTTTGCAATAACCGTATTACAAAGACTTCAACTAACTTATGATGCTATCACCACAAGCCACTTTATAACTCTCCTAGTTACAAAGGGTTTAACTAACTTGTGATGTTCTCACCACAAGCCACTTTGTCACCCTATGGTTACAAAGGATTTTGCTTATGACTAAACCTAGCCACAACGTAAACTCCAGGAGTTTACAGGTTTACAAAGGATTCCTAATCAACGCTTCTAGCTAAGCAATTTAGGAGATACAATAAGTACAATCACAAAGTTACAACTCAACTAGGACAACAACATGCTGACTTTAGGAACTGGTCCGTAGTTGCGTTCAACTTTGTTCTTCAAGCTCGTGAGGATTGATTTCTCTGTTTTGGCAAGAAGCTTGAATCAGAAACTGAAACCTTCAAGTGATGTTCCAATATAAACTCATGTTGGTACACCTTGATTACATCACTTGATATGATGTGAGCACTTTAGTTTGTCAGGAATGAGTGGGCTCTGGAAACAGTGCAGTGCGGCAGAAATAGTGCAGGCAGTCACTTCGTTTCCAGCTGTGTCCAACTGACTTTGTACTGCTATGAGGGAACCACTAGGGTAGCAGGTCCTTGTTTAGTTTCCTAGCTCCTGAAGCTGTAGCAGTTCACATTTGGCTGGAATCCATTAAATACAGTATAATCCAAGTGAGTCGGGTTCCCTATCTGGTTCTTGACATTAAGTTTGTTAGATCATCAAAACATAAGGAAAAGATATTGAAAACCTATCAATTTCCCCCTTTTTGATGATGACAAACTTAGCATTGAAACCGAGGATTTAGAGCTGAGAGAACCAGATTGAGGAACAGTATACCACAAGTTCCCCCTGACTTTATGCCCTTACTTACACATATATTTCCCCATATATTCCTCATTACTTATTACTATTATTTTATTTTCCCCTTTTTGGCATCATTAAAAAAACACAAACAGAAGAATCAGCACAAAGAAGTCCAGCTATGCTAACTCATACCACATATGTGCACACAAACATGATAGAGAATAGAAACACAGAGGTAAAGCACTGATATAATAAAAGAGGATAGAATTGATATTAAGAAAACTTTAATATGCCTTTGCTTAAAAAGCAAAAAGCAATATTGGACTTGTTAAAACGGGAGCAGTAGTGTTCCATCCCAGCCACATAAAAAGGAAACAAAAAATAACTACCAAAACAAGAAAGAAATCTTAAAGAACATTGCCAGAAACTGGTCACTGAAGGGGTACTTAGGGGGCACTAGGAGTAAAAGGCTTGGACGCTGCAACAAGTGTTTGGAGAACAAGATCTATTTGGGCATTTCCTGACTTTTTCTTATTGAGCAGTTCTGCTTTCACGTTCTCTACTTGCGCCCTGAGATCAGCATTTTCCTTGGTCAAACGAGCTACTTCATCATTTGACACCAGAACCCCTTGGGCTTGCTGACCTTCCAGGATTGCATTCCTGGCCTTTAATCGACGAATTTCCTCAACTGCACTGTTCTGAGCATTAATAAGCTGTGAGACGGTTGATGTACTTCCTACCCCCATTCTTTTCTATGCACCCGCATTCTTCCAAAGTGGTCTGTAAGAAAGTCTGCTTCTTAGTCCCCACCTTGCCTGTCCCCAGTGGTACTTCAAAGAATTTAAACACTCGAGTAAGCAGGAACCCGTAGGGAAGCCCATGATTACCATCCTTGAAAGAGGCAACCTTTCGCATGTATTCAATCCTGATAGCAGGCAGACTCACAGGGGAAAAGCTGTCCAGTTGTCCCATCAAGAACAGGTCAGACTTAGAAGTTACTGACCTCCTCTCAGCTCGAGGCAAAGAAGCTTTGTACCTCATCCTCATATACCTTAGGTGCATCCATTTGGAATAAGTGCGCCCAGCATTGAAACTCGACCATTTCCAGAATTTGGCGCATACCAGCCATCTCAGAGATTGCTGGGTCAAATGTACGACCCAGCAGAACCTTTTGATGTCGCAGACGTTCAGAGCCAAGGCTGACTTCACTTCTCATTCTCTTCATAGAACCGGGTTCGTCAAAAATTTTAGACTTGCGTTTCCCGGACTTCTCACCGCTTACTTTTCCTTTTTCCTTGGATTTGACTAACACATCCTCATCAGACATCGAGAACTCACTCACCTCCTCCTTCATCTTGGACCTAGAGGTTGACCCCTTCTCTGTTGAAACATGCTTCTTCTTTTTTAAAGACCGTCTAACCAGTGAACCAGGTTCATCTAGGGTTTCCTCATCCACCTCTACTACAGGGATTGCCTCATCTCTTACAGGTACACTGTCTTTCACCAACTTTCTCCTTTTTTTCTTACTACTTTTCTTGCTATTTTGAAGAGCAGAATCGTAGGCCACCTTAGCTTGAAGCCTGGTAGTAGGTCCTTGTTTTCAGACTCAGGAGTGGACACAACTCTCCGCTTAACTATGAACGCATCAAGAGCCACATTGTCTAGGTCCTCCTCATCACTGGATCTCATTTCAGGTACTTGTATTTCCAAGGGCACAGTAGTGAATGCAGGAACAGAACTGTCCTGGGAATGAGAGCCCTGACCTGGGTCCTCCGGAGAGGGATCAGGTTCCTCATGTGATGGTCCAGTAGTATCTGCTAGTGCATCCCCTTCAACAGTTACAATGGCCCCTTTGTCCCCCACACTTTGTACCTCATTTTTCGGATGATCTCATGCAGTACCCCATCAGCAGACACCACACAAACCGTTACAACATTTTTCACTTCCTCAAATGGTACTACTACCACCACGGAGTCGGTAGCAACGATGGCAGAACTCTTTATGACCTCAGGGTTTTGACCTTGTTCTCCACTGGTTCTTTGACTGGTGGGAGCCTCAGAAGATGGAGGGGATGGAGCAACAATTTTGGGGGTTTCTGAAATAGGGAGAGACGGGAAGACTGGGTGAGGGGTAACTTCAGCGGAAGGAGTAAGAGAGGGTACGACTGAGGCAGGGAGTCGGAGTTTGTCTCAACCATTAAAGAGAAAGAGAAAAAAAAGTGTGACGATGCTTTTGGGAAATTCTACTGGAGAACTTATGGTTAGAGAGAACAGAAGAGGATTTTTATTAGGAGAGGATAATTATGAGGAGAGAGGAAGAGGCACCGGTTCTGAAACAACGGTTGGGCGTGGAGAAATGCAATATTTCAGAGGGAGATGGAACGATTTGAAGTGAGAGACGTGAAAGTGGTTCTGAAAAGTTGAATGACATGGCAGTCGGGTTTTGTACCTTTTTTAAGACATGTATTAAAGGATGCACAGAACTACTAACCTTTGGTATAAGAACCAGGTTCTTGTCCTTTTATTTGAAAGACTCAATCCTCTTTTATAATTTATGAACTGCATCTGTAGCTTCTGTACTCATCAATCATGTGTGTTTACCTGCAACGGTATTAAAGTGAGTTAGACACGGCCAGAAAACACTTTTAGCCAGTTATTTCTTGAATGTGATTTTCATAGCCAAATAAAGAGGAATCAGGTTCTCAATTGGGCTTTAAAAGCCCCAACTTCATTTTGTTTCTTTCAAACTGTTCCCTACTTAAAGCCATGGTGAAAATGTCTGCAATTTGGTCTTCTGTGCTGCAGAACTTCATACATATCAGCCCTTTCTCCACATTGTCCCTCAGAAAGCGATGCCTCACATCAACGTGCTTTGTCCTTTTGTGTTGAACTGGATTCTTGGCCATGTTGAGTGAACTGGTGTTGTCACATAGAAGGGTCACACTCTCAATGAGTACCCCAAAGTCCTCCAGTTGCTGCTTGATCCATAAAAGTTGAGCACAGCAGGATGCTGCGGCTACATATTCTGCTTCAGCAGTTGAAAGAGCCACTGAATTTTGCTTCCTTGTGCCCCAAGAGATAAGACATGAACCTAAGAAGTGAGCCATTCCAGAAGTGCTTTTCCTGTTGTCACGACCCTAAACCCAGACCCAGTCGTGATGGCGCCTCTCGTGAAGACAAGGCTAGCCGACACATTTCCAATTCGAAGATAAACAGCTAAACGGCAATACAACAGGCTAAAACATGATTTAATAATGCTAAATAGCGGATAATATCATAACGAGGCGGAAGTACAACCCAAACACAGCCCAAACCGGGATGTCACTAGTCATGAGCATCTACTAAATCTAAATACAATTGACAAAGTCTGGAATGTACTAAGTACAGACTAATAAAATAAGGAGGGAGAAAAGCAGTGCTGCGAACGCCGGCAGCCACCTTGCTAAACTCCGATTACTCTGCCTCCGATCAGCCAAAACCCGCTACCGGGTGTAGAATACCTGAATCTGCACACATGGTGCAGGGAGTAAAGTGAGTACTCCAACTCAGTGAGTAATAATTATAAATAAAGACTGAGTGATAAGAAATCACGAAAAGTGCATCAACATGCTGTATAGAAGTGGTACAAAACCAGTAAGAAAGCAGTGAAGCTGTAAAATCCCTTAAAAACACCTTAGCTCAGTTTAAAACTCTTTGAAAATGGCTTTTTCAACAGTTACGCAAATGAATGCAGAACAACTAGTGCAGATAAGCAGAGAAATCCGCTCCTCGGGCACAAATACACAATTAAGCAAGTAAACGACAGGTAAAATAAGAAAGATAAGCACATAAGGTTCGCCCTTCGGGCACAATATCAACAACTCCGCCCCTCGGGCAATATCTCAGAACGGTACCAGCCCCTCGGGCAATCACATGGAACAAAACCAACCCCTTGGGCTATATCTCACATCATACTGGGTACCCGCACTCACTGGGGGTGTACAGACTCCTGGAGGGGCCCCTTTCGGCCCAAGCGCAATAACAAGTCATCTCGTGGCATCATAAACAGGCTCTCGGCCTCATATTAATATCAAGCCACCTCGTGGCGTACATACCTCATGCCCTCGGCCTCAAATCAGTATTAGTGTATCACCGCTGCGGCGTGCAGCCCGACCCCAAAAGATATCCTCACAACACAGGCCCTCGGCCTTACTCAGTCAAAAATCACATAAGCCTCTCGGGCAACAGTAAAACAGTATTTCTCAGCCCAAAACATCATTTAAATATCATTTGAGTATTAAAATAGAGTAAACATGGCTGAGTTTTGAAAACAGTGAAAATAACATGACTGAGTTCAAGTATAAAGTCAAAACAGTGAGGAAACATCAACAACAATACCCGAAGGGTTCAAATAATTGGCACGGAGCCCAAATATGGCATTCAGCCCAAATAATGATGATAGATAATAGATTTCAATCAAATACGTGGTAAAATCATCAATTGGGACAGACCAAGTCACAATCCCCAATAGTGCACGACCCCACGCTCGTCATTAAGCGTGTGCCTCACCTCAATATAGTACTACGATGTGTGATTCGGGGTTTCAAACCCTCAGAACATCATTTACAACCATTACTCACCTCGAACCGGCTAAATCCCCAGCTCGCTACGCCTTTGCCCTTCGAATTGGCCTCTACGCGCGTCGAATCTATCCAAAATCAGAACGAGGACGTCAGAATATGCTAAGGGAACAAAGCTCAAGCGAAAACAATCAATAAGGGACACAAATCCCGAAATCAGCAAAACCCGAGCCCTGGGCCCACTTCTCGAAACTCGGAAATTTTCACACCAACAGATTCCTTATGTCCCCACGAGTTCATACATATCAAGAACATCAAAATCGGACCTCAAATGGCCCCTCAAATCCCCACTCAAAGGTCTCTTAATCTCAAGCCCTAATCCCTCAATTGCTTCCTTAATTTCCACTAATGCCATGATTAAACAATGGAAAAATGATCATAAACATGAGTAATGAGGCTTAGGGAACTTACCCAACTGTTTCTCTTCGATTCTCCCTTGAATACACTGCCCTAGCTCGCTTCTCGTCTTCAAAAATGGAGAACTTAGCAAAATTTCACGAAGGAACATTATATACTTATTGGCCCAGGTAATTCCGCACTTGCGGTCCCATTACCGCTTTTGCGGTTCTGCTTCTGCGGCTTTTCCACCGCATCTGCGGTCTTCATTAAAATAACAATTTCCGCATCTGTGGTTTTACACTCGCACCTGCGCTACTGCAGGTGCACCCACGACACCGCTTCTGCGGTTCCTCACTTAAAACCCAAAATCGCATCAATTCACCCAAAACACATCGAATTCAATCTTAAGTTTCTAAAAATCTTCCGAAATACGCTTTTGATCAAAAACCCAACCAAACCACGTCCGAATGACCTGAAATTTTGCACACACATCCCAAATAACATATTGAAGCTACTACAACTCTCCGAATTTCATTCCGACCTCTATATCAAAATCTCACCTATCAACCGGAAAACGCCGAAATCTTAATTTTGCCAATTCAAGCCTAAACCTTCCACGGACTTCCAAAATGCATTCCGATCACGCTCCCAAGTCCCAAATCACCTAACTGAGCTGACCAAATCATAAAATTTCCGATCCGAGATCATATACAAACAGGTCAAATCTTGGTCAAACCTTTCAAATTTTAAGCTTCAAACTGAGAATTATTCTTCCAAATTCATTCCAATTACCCTAAAAACCAAAACCAACGGTTTACATAAGTCATAATATACTACATGGGGCAAGTCATGCCCGAGAACTGGAGAGCAAAGTGCAAAAACTCAAAACGACCGGTCGGGTCGTTACATCCTCTCCCACTTAAACATACGTTCGTCCTCGAACGTGCCCAGAGTTGTTCCAAAAGTCAACCAATTGCTGAATAACCTTACCATGCACCTACCCGGGGGTGATCCCACGTCACCCTATCTCCTATAGGTCCGATAACACATAGAAACTGGAATTTCACAATCCAATCTAGCCCATAAACCATAGAACCACATTTCCACTTCCGAAATCATCCACAAGATCAGAATCTCATATCTATACTCTGAATAAGCCCGAACAAGCTGTAATAACCCATACCTGCAACCTCAGGTGCAATCACATGATATACCACATAACTCAAACACTTGTAGTGATAACTTAATCACAGCAGCTGTACACAACAACCGAATACCGATAGAAAGCCTCTTATCAACTAAAGTCTCATCCCAATACTTTCATATACTGCCAGCGATAAATAAAACACATAGTAAGCCTTAACCATTTCTTAGATCAACCATTCATGAAGTCACTTCTCCTTTGGCAAAGACCATGGCAATTTCTGAGCCAACCCTCGATATTTATCCTTCCAACGTGCTAAAATTGAACCCGCTCGTATTCATTAATGATCCCAACGGTCTCATCTAATCACATATAACTACTCCGGTGACATGACACCTCGATGCAGGCTAAAGCCGTAACTTGCGCAATCCGCGCACCAATAAGAGACAATCCGAACATACTCAACTCATGATAATGATCCAAATGAAAGAGCTGTACCTCAAGCTCACCGGTACCACCACAACACAAAGATGAGAACCCGTCTAACATCGTAGAAATAGAACACACGAATCTAACCTGCAAGGTCATATCTCCACATAACTTCGCTGCAATGCGCGATCCTATCCAAACACTGCTCCACATGAAACACCTCAAGTCACTCTGCTCGAAATTGACGACCACGCGCAATTGATGTCTAGAACCAAAGCAAATCATCATGACCACAGTGAAGCAAATACATAACACTACTCAACCCAAAAGGATATAACCAATACGCCATCTGCCGAGCAATATCCGATACTCTTTCCCGCTCGACTTCCACTAAGAAACCCCCAATGGAACCGCACCATCTGTGCCTATACCCAACAAATCATAATGCCTCGCAACACAGAAAAGGGAACTCATAGATCTCCCCAGATTACTAATAAGCTCAATAACAATCGAATCAACACATCCCTCCACAATACAATCCGGAGCCTACCAAGCCGGCTCAAGTTAGAACACGCATCCACATTAGCCTGCCAACGAACTCCTTATCAAGGAAATCCTGAAGCAGCTCCTTCAACTCCTTTAACTCTGCCGGTGCCATACGATACGGTGCCCGGCATCAGATCAATACCGAAATCAACAACCTTGCCAAGCGACATGCCCGGCCACAAGAACACATCCGAAAAATCCCTCACCGCTGGAACTGAATCAATATGAGGAGCCTCTGCACTGACATCCATCACAAGAGCCCAAATAAGAAAGACAATCCTTCCCAGTCGTCCGCTGGTCTTCGAAATATGAAACCACTCTACCAAGAACATGATCCATCGAACCTCGCCACTCAATCCGTGGCGTTCCTGGCATAGCCAACAACGCCGCCTTAGCACAATAGTCCAGAATAACACAACACGGAGACAACCAGTCTGCACCCAACATCACATCCAAAATCTGACATACCAAGGTGCAAAAGGTCCACTCGGGTCTCCAGATCCCGATATCACTACACAGTGCTGATACACACGACCCGACATCACAACATAACCTGAATATGAGAACTTCCAGTCTCCAAATTCGTATAGCACACGAATCACCATACCTGATCCCGGTTCCGTCGTCCGAATACATACCCCATCTTTAATACCCAATCATTCCATGAGAGATACTCTAACATTCTTCTATGCCTCCAAGCAAACTCGAATATCAGCAGTCGATCTACCAGAAAGTGTCGCAATACTACCGAAGTACCATCAACTTAATCACATTGCCTTTTTCTGAAACATATACCCTCGTCAAATTACCTCCAACTAGCAATACCATTTCATTAATCATCTGAAGATCATTTCCTTAATCATCTGAAGCTCATTTCTCTAATTATCTGAAATTGTCCGCTGCCTAAGAATTTATGGCCTTCCGTTCAGAACTGAACCGCAACCTTACACATGCAAATCTCAACCTCCACACATACAACATATACCAATCCATCCTAAAATAACATAAGAATTTCATATCCCTTCCGAGCCACAAGCAACTATGTACTCAACCAACGAAGAACTTTTCCATTGACCCCACTCTAGAAGAAAATCACTATACATCTCAAGCTCCTCACGCCAGCAGAAAATATACATCTCTAACCGCGGTAGAAATCAACAAGAACTCTCCGACTCCCCTTGCACAAATAGGACTGAATCCTCCTAGCTCAGCCAACCTACGCATGCCACTAAAACCCAAGAGCATTACCGCGAAATACCATGAGAAACTCATTACCTCGTAAACACCCAAAGAACTAATCATATCCTTACCATGCCGATCTGGCCTACTACCAAGCTATCCCATCTAACTGAGCTCCCTTCTGATTTACCTTCAATTGATACTCCTTCTTGCCATAACATCACGTTTCCTCAACCCAAACTCACCACACGAGACCCAACCATAATACCATACAGCCTAAGGCTCATAACCCGCTGAATACCCTTTTAAATATCCCTAAAAGCACCACCTTCAAAATACTTTACTCTGAAGAGACTTCCTACAATCTAAATCCGTTACCTTTACCTTCCTGATACTGATACATAGAATCCCGCAAATAATGTAGAAAATACCACAAGTCTTGCTATCCTCCACTGAAAACTCAGTTTCTAGCCATACGTACAACTTGCAAATTCCCTCTTGTTACATGTAAAACCCATAACGCATTAGAACCATTCTCTATAGTCATTGTTGATACCCAATTTTTTCCTATGTATTTTTATACTCAAAATACTTTTAAAATAGCATGTGTATGCATATAAAAGCATGCCCAAGAATTTTGGTATTTTCCCCTAATTTTTAAAGATTTTAAAATCGTTATTGCCCATTTTGGCTATACAAAATCAATAATTATCCCCAAAAAATTATCCTTTTGTGGTTAACCTATTTTATTCCCATATTTACACCAAAATAAAATTAAGGTAGTTTTTTCATATTTTTACGAATTTATTTGGTATTTTTATAGCTAAAATTGCATGTAATTGCAACTTTAGCCTATTTTACGATTAACAACATTTTTGCAATTATGAGATTATTTTCCAGTATTTTTGGATTAATATTTATATATCATTAAGTAGTTCAGTGCTTTTAATTTGATCTTAAAATCATTATTGCTATTTATAAAAAATAAAAAGGGCAAAACTGGCTATTTAAAAGCTAGCCTCATTTCATTTCAATCACAGCCATTTGGTATTTCAATTTTAGCATATATTAACCCCCTAATTGACCCAATTTCCAGCCCAATTTCGGACCAGCCCAATCCCACTTAACCCCAACCATTAACCCGTCTATATTACCTGACCCAAACCCCTTTTAATATAGGCCGTTGATCAACCTGATCAAGGGCCACGATCACTCCTTACCTTTTTTATTCCCCCAACCCTAACCTAACTCCCTCATTTCGACCGGGCAGCCGCCTCTGAATACCCTCCCCCTCTTAAACGCTCTCGAATGTTCCTGAAACCCTGATCGCCTCCACCCTCTTCAGCCTCCGACTCACCGGAATCCATGGCCTCTCAGGCCATGGACGACCTATACTCACCTCCTATTACCCTCATGTGCCTGATACTTGAAGGTTCGAGGCCAGACCTCGAAGGCCTTCACCCAGACCTTCACCGATTCAAGGTTTTCGACCATCTCCGGCCCTGCTCCGGCATATCCTAGCCTCCTGAGTCTGATTCCGACCTTATCCGACTTAGATCAGACCTTTTCCAAGCCTTTATCATCCTAGGGTTCCTCTGAAACCCTAACCCTACGAGGTTTTCTCCGATTCTTTTTTGATCCGTTGTGTATCTATGCTATACTTGAACTTTTAAACGATTTCCCTAAATTTTCCTTTGAAAATTACTTTCAAAACCCTTCTTTTCCGATTTAGGGTTTTCTGGAAAATGTTTAAGAGCTTTTTATGATTTTCTTCTTTGTGTTTGCCTCTGCTGTGTCCTCGTATCATCTTTTGCATGCTTCCCTTACTGTGTTTTCTATACTATTGTCTTGTAGATTTTTCTACTGTATTTTAGCATGTTCTTATATGTTTGTCATACTGTGTTTTCCTATATGCTTTTCTGCTATATCTTTTCCGGCAATTCTTGTGTTTTTCTACTTTCTAAGTTCTTATGGTTCTTTGTCTGCCTTTTACTGAGCCTTGTTTAGGGTTCTTCTAAGCATGTTTCTCCTGTTGTTCTTATCAGTATTTGCCATTGTGTGCTTTGAGTCCTTCTACTGTGATTGCATGTTGCTTTGGTATACATGTTTTGATCCAATTGCTTGCTCTCTTTTGTGATTTGCCTGAACTAGGATTCTTATTTCAAAACCCCTAACTCTTTTAGGATAATTTTGGAGTTTCATATGATTCTGACTTTTGATAAACTCTTCTAAACTCTGCTACTGGATTTTTATGCTGATTTACACGACAGTCTTCTTTCATACTCATATGCTCCTTATATATGATGAATTTCCCTCTAATTGGTCTTTAAATTTGCAATTAGCGTAAACCTCCTTCTGAATATAGCTTGATTGATTTTCCTTCCATCTTTGCCTGATTCCCTAGATGATTTGGCTTAGGTAAAACCCTTCTTTATTTTGCGACTTGGTTCACTCATACCAAATTTCAGACCTTTGTGATTTACTGGCTGTCAAATGATTCTCTTGCCTTATTTGCATAAACCGTGTACTGTCAAGACCCTGTCCTTAAATAACTTCCATGTACTTGCCTCTAATTTGCTACTTTGCACACAGGTTTGTTTAATTTCTTTCCTTAATTAGTTTGTACCGTTTGAATCTGAATCCCTTAATTAAGGGGAGTCTTATGTAATTGATTGACAATCAGGCTTCTATTGTTTTCTTACCTTATTTTCTCATGACTTTCACACTATAAATACACGACCCTCTTTCACAAGACACACACGAGAACACGATTAAAAACATACTTCATACTATACAATTTCACAATTCTCTTCTGAAGGCATACTTAGAGTATTCCTGCCTCTTGTTTGCACTTTGGCTTTTTACAAGACTACTTCTCTCTCTTTACTTGTCTCTGTGAAACTGGTATGTCCTAAATTAATTTTTCAGCATCATCCCAATGTGTTTTATTTACAGTCCTTGTATCCATGTCTATTTTCTTTTCTCTATAAAGTTTAGCATTTAACTTAATATTCCTATACGCTACTGCCTGATTCTCTTTCTTGTAAACACTTGTTCCCTATCCCATTACCCCCTGTGTGTTTGTGAGTGGGGACTTGGGGCATGGCAACAAGAATTGTTGTCCATGAACTGAGTTTTGACCCCCTAGCCTCTAGTTAGGCTGGAGAGTGTGCCAGTATGTCTCATTGCTGGGTATGCCCTTTGCCTGCTCTTTCTTTGTACCTTGTTTCTATTATGAACTCCCATACCCCATTCCCTATGTATGCTGAGTTAAAGTTCATGACCTAGCAGCACCCTAATTGCTGTCCATGGCTGAACCCGACCTTCAATAGGTCCTAACTCCCCAATTTAAAGCTGACAGGCTGGTCAGGGGTGTGCCAGCATCCCAATTGTTGGGCATGACCACCAGCCTGCCATGGCCTTCCCTAATCTCCCCCTATTGCACTTACACTTACTCCTAGACAATAAGTTCTGCTCCCCCTCCTATGAGCCTTGCTTTGGGACCTTGATCTCCCTCTGAACTTGGACATTTGAGGGCTGGCCTTTCCACACTGCACTATGATTCTGTAATGGTATTTGGAGTGTAAGCATTGCCTGGAGTTCGTGAAGCTCCTTGGAACATTGACACATCCCAGATAAGAGAAAGGCTTTGGAAATCTGCTCTTTGGAAGTTGGTCTATTTCATGTATCAGACTAGGAGTCTGAATTATGCTCTCCTTGGTTGGAATTTTAATTTTTGATGTAATTTACTTTTTCTGGATCCATTCAAGTTGTAATATTTCATTACACATTTAGAAATCATCTACATTTAGAAATCATGTCTATAAGTTTATTCATCTATATTTAGAAATCATGTCTATAAGTTTATTCACATCTGCATTTAGAAATCATGTCTATAAATTTATTCATATCTGCATTTAGAAATCATGTCTTTAAGTTTATTCACATATGCAATTAGAGATCATGTCCATAAGTTTATTCACGCCTGCATATAGAGACCATGACTATAGGGTTTTCTGCACTTCTGCACATCATTTATCACTAGGCAAACGGTTTGTAGGCCCAAATAACACAATGAACTCTAGATACCATGTCTATAGGGATCCTGCACTCTTACAAATGTTTTAAAATCAATCACACTTAGAGAGAATTCCTATAGGAATAACTAACTGAATTTGGATCGTCCATCTCGCTAGTAAGTCTAGAATCAGTGGTAAAGTCGTTTTAACATCTGCAGAATTTTTGTTTGTTTCTAAAATCAATAATCCTCCTTAAAATCAATACGCCTTCTGCATTGTTGGATATCATGATTACAAATCTCACCTAGGCAAGCCACTAGGTAATTAACTAACTACACCAGTCTTCAATAATTACAGCTAGCAGGAAAATCTAATTCGGACTTCTTATCTGAAAATATGTGATATATCAGCCACCCTTCCTTCATTAAGTTAATTAAAGACCTAACCAGTATCTGAAGTCATGCTATGTATTTGCATTTAAGTGAGGAGGCTTGTCTGAGCCCTAATTGATGTTTGTTCCCCCCTATTTGACTATATGTTTTGATTGTCGCCTAAATTTTTATCCTTTCTTGAACTTCTGAAAAGCCCCAATTCCCTTCCCTTTAGGACTAATAGTTCCATTCCTCCGGGACTGATAGGATCGGGACGGGTAATAGCATGCAATAAGTAACGATACTATTTCGCGCTTTAATACCTTATCGGGGTGGGAAAGGGTAGACGTGGAGATGATCATCACGCGATAACACCACGCGTACGATTGGTTACCGGGTGTTGCGTGGATGATCCATGTATTTTTTACAAACCTAGGACCCCTTTTTCCCTTATTTAATTATTTTTAGATTGTCAATTTTCAGAATTCTGCATTTCCTTTTAGTCACTAAAATTCCCCCTTTAATTTTCGCACTGTCCTTTCCTCTAAAATTTTCTGCATTCCCTTCCTTGTTTGATAATTTGTATTCATTACGTGATCCTATTTTTCTGCATTTAGACATTCTTGCCAATAACTAGGAAGTCACCTATTCAAATTTCAGCATGTTTAGTAACCATTATGCATACCTACTTGCAGTCTTTATGTGAAATTGTCTTGTATGCTTATTTGCTTTAAAGTCACAATTGTAGCATGGTCGGGAACCACACTAGTGGATCTTGAGGGGTGCCTAACACCTTCCTGTCGAGATAATTTCTAGCCCTTACCCGAACTCTAGTTATTCAACTCAAACCCTTCTTATTGTCCTAATGCACTTAATCATTAGGTGACGATTCTTCAAACTCCAAAACCCAATTCCCAAAAGGGAAGAGAGTTGTCCTCCCAAATGTCGTAAACCCGATTTCGCCTTTTAAAGAAAAAGGGGGCTTTGACAGCATGTCGACTCTTCAAAATCCAATACTCAATTCCCAAAAGTGAAGAGAGTTGTCCTCCCAAATGTCGTAAACCTGATTTTGCCTTTTAAAGAAAAAGGGGGCTTCGACAACATGGCGACTCTTCAAAATCCAAAATCCAATTCCCAAAAGGGAAGGGAGTTGTCCTCCCAAATGTCGTAAACCCGATTTCGCCTTTTAAAGAAAAAGGGGGCTTCGACAGCATGGCGACTCTGCTGGGGAATTCTTTAAGGCTTTTACCATTTCATGCTATTTGTGACTTTATGCTTCCTTACATGTCTTTACTTGTTTAAATGCCTTTAAGTATTTATTCTTTCTTCTACTACGAAACTAACTTGGCTCTTTGTTTTCTTTTCTTTAATGCTTTCTTTTACTGCTTTCCTTCAATACTGTTGTAATTATGAGCAATTATTGTAATTGTTACTTTATGAACGTGCAAATACATGACAACTTGTTTCGTTCTTGTAGTTGCATCTTCCACATCATATTTCACTCGTGCCAAACAAAATACCCTTAGCAACATTTATAATGAGTGATTGCGCTCTTCCGATATTATCACCCCCTAAATTTGGCAAAGGCATATTTGAGGTAAAACTAGTCGATCAACGGTGTAGTTGACGATTCCGCGCCTTTCCCTCTTGAGTTGTCCGCTCAAGGGTACCTTGTCTAATACCCCATAGAAACCATTTCTCTTTAAAATTGTGCATGCATCATGGTCAAACTTAGCCGAGTCGGTTATGTTGTCCGCATAATGACTCTTTAAGATAGCCTTTTCCAAAGTCCACTGGGTTTCCTTGAAACCCAAACGGACGCTACCACGTTCTATGCATTTATTTGGAGAACTAAATGCTTTGTTATGCTAATTATTGACGTTAAATAGTCGAGTCTGGTGCGGGAAAAGGGTCTAACCTTTTGTTTTGCAGAAAATGAGGCACGAAGTCCCCATATTCGGCATGGTCACCAACATC